ATAATGCACATACTCTAGACCCTTTTCCTCTGGTTTCTATACTGTGTAGCACTGATACGGCATGTAAGAGTGCTGATTTATGGTGCCACTACATAAAGCAAACTTCATGGTTTGGTTTGTTGGTTTTTAGAAAATAATTTTTTTACACACGTGATATTTATGAACGAAGGTGACAGCAATAGTGAATGAAAAAGGACCAACAAAGTAAAAATCACATTAGACGTGGGATCATGGCAGCCAATGACAGTTATCTTTAGTGTGTCAGGGTGATGTGCCACTCATATCAAGACAGAGATTTCAGCATAAATCTGGACAGTAATCTCCCCCTGAATGATAAGATGTCTTATCTAGCCGGCACTAATCTTCCTGGAAGAATCTGGAAATTACAAATGTCTCCTGAATTCTTCACTAGTACACTAGCCACTGCTGCTCTCATTAGAGTCTGACCACAGAAAGGGTGAAAGATCATGTAGAATAAGGTTAATCCTCATATACACCCACTTATACAAAAACATCTACATGTCATGCATAGAAAGAGAGAACAATAAAGAGAAAGAAAGACAGGGGCAGTGAGATGATGACATAGCATTTTCAGCTGTGATCCAATAAAGTTAGGCAATCATTTCACATTTCTTAACAGAGTGCAGCTGTACGCTAAGTGTGTCTCATGTGATAGTGAATGTGATAAGTAACATGACCAGCATGCCTGGAGTGCAACTATAGAGGCCTGACTATGTCTCTTTATTGGTGACATGAAATGACAAGGCTTCTATCTCTTAGTAAATGGAAGTATATCAGTACTAAAATTAGAATGTAAAATGTAAAATGGCAATGTATTTGTATGTTTACATTTCCCACTCCTATATGCAATGTTGAGCTCAAAATGAAAATTTAAATTCAATACTGTGATTTTAAATGCCATTTGGTATACTAGTATTAACATTTCTTTTACACAAAGATTTGGATGCTTTATGAGCAGTTTTATTTAAATTAAAATATATTTCCACAACTGCACATTTATGCTTAATGTGATTACGCAATAATTGTGTCAAAATTATAATTAGAATGTAATTTATCTTATATGCATTTTCACTTACTAATGATGTATTTAAATCACATTATTAAAGAGAACAACAAACTAGAAAGATGGCAAAATTCAAATGTAACTACATACATTTTTGTGGCAAAATGTAATTAAAAATGCATTTGACTAGATTGCATTTTCATTATCATGGACAATGGCTACTCTTACGTTAACAGCCACTTGAGATGACATCTCTTTATACAGGACCCCATGTTGAAGTGTTCAATCAAATGTGTGGCCAAGTTTCCTGGTTTAAGATTGTTAAAGATTGGGGCTGTTTTTCTTACAACGGTTTATTTACATATTTACACAGTATGTATATACCATATATAAATATGCAGTGCTGGTCAGTGGTCTCAGGCGATACATGTAACTTTATCTGGAGAGTAAGCATATATTTGTTCAAATTACACTCAAATAAAATTTGAATAAATACAAATAAATAAATAAACAATACTTTTTGAATTTATGTCTGTCACTGTCCTTGAGGAAGCTCAGTATTTACAGTTTCCCTTCAATGCCTAGCTTGGCTGACCAATCCTTCATTACATTAAATCAGGTGTGCAGTTGATGGAATAGAACAAATACAAACAATGGCTGGAGTGTACTGAGAAGTCAGGAACTAAACTGTATTCTTCTAAACAAGATACTAATGACTTTAAAAGCACACACACGCTGCTCAGATGTGTAGGAGTGTATTTTAAGCATATTTGTACTATATATACATATGCTGTGACCAGGGGCACCTAAACTTTTGTATATGAATGTATATAAATAAAGGTGCCAGAAGAGTTTAACCTTTTGGGGTCTAAAGGCATTTTCTTGATTTCCAAAATTAAACTTTCCAAACTACTGCAGCAACTTCAGCAGCTGTACACTTTTTGCATTGAATTTCATGTCTCTGATTTCAACTGAACGAAGACTGAAGGGTTTCCAACATGATGGGTAAGTCCTTAGGCATTTCCTGAGTGTCCATTGGTCAGTTTCACACAAAATGTAGACACATATGAATCCACCTATTACACATGGTGAGAGGCAGATGATGTGTATCTTAACCCCTCTTCATAACCTCATTACTCTTCCTGTGAGTCACATATAATTTTGCGATGCCATGGAATGGAAGGGACCAACTCCACAGATTCATGAAATGTTTGACCCATATTTCTGCGCTGTATTATCACAAAGATGGAGAAACATATATAGAACCATCAAAGTTGACACATGGGCGAGTTTGTGGACCCCAGAAGGTTAAGGTGGAACAAACAATTTGAAAAAGGCAGTTCTAAATTAAAGAGACATCCGATGTTTCTAAAAGACATTCCATGTTTTACATGTTTTTAGCTTGTGACAGACATATTAACATATAGTACCTTGAAGCAGTTTCACAATGACTCTTTCTGTAGTGAGCTCTGGTGTTAGCTACCTAAAAACTACATCTACCCCTTTTGTTTCCATCCTTAACAATAAAACAAGTTGCAGAGTTTAAAATTATGCATGATTCTATCTGATAAAAAGTAACAAAAAAATTACAGATATGCATTTTTAAGTTTTGGTTCTGAAGACCTAGAAGGCCCTGAGGATTGCCCTCTGGTTGATTCACTGGTTTTTCTTTTCTTTTTTTAAATACAGGGAAAACATCTAAATTACTGTCCATGGTACACTACACATGTAACAGATAGAGAAGAAAAGCTAGCGGATCCTTTTAAAGAATGATCTACTGAAAGGCCTGTTAGCGAACCACAAGGTTTATTTATGGCACTACAAAGAACCTTTTTTGCACCTTTATGTTTAAGGGTGTATGAGTCTATGAAGTGAAAGGCCTCATTCATTTTCTACACACATTATGCAGTGACCTTTCTCTAGTTAATTCAGTACTCTCGCACTCCTGACTTTTATGCCTTTTCTCAGGTAGGACTTTATTAGCGGGCCCCAGGACAGCAACTGCCCTCCGCAGAGCTAAACTGATCTGAGTTAATGGAGCATGAAGAGAAAGCAAAGCTTGAGCCTCAATTTACTCCAGTGCAAATCCAGTTGGCAATTAAAAGTACTAAAGTAACATAGTGTTATGAGTGCTATACCAGCAGTACAGGAACTGCTGTGTGCTGAGAGCTGCAGTCACCAAAGGTAAATAATATCTAGAGCAACGCCGTCTTAATGAAATTCTACTCACATGAGGCTCATGTTAAGTATGTGTTACAAGGTTTTCATATGACAGAGAATATACAGGTCTGATTTTCTATAAACCATTTAAGAAACTCAGTCTGTGAGTGTTAGAGTTCAGAGAACTGTAGTGCATCTAATGTATGTTGAAAATGCAGCAGTCCGTCATGCATTGCTAATTTAATACCCCCGGTTCCTCATTCAATTTCAAACATGTTGGACATGCATGGACAGACAATGGCACACCATCTTCCATATCAAAGCCTCTCGGCTTACGGGGGTGTGTCCCTGACACCTGCACACACATCAGCTGATCACTGCTGCTTTATTTTTGCTGTTTACCTGTCACACTCTAACTAATGCAAATATAAAATGCAATTGTACAAACTGAGTTCTGTCTCTTTCTTGAAAGAAATAACATTTTCTCCATGTGGCGTCTTGAGCTTAGGATTTACCGGATGAGAGATTTCAGTGCAGGGTAGGATTAATGTCCTGAAATAAGCTAACAGATGGACAGTTTCTCCTATTGTTTACTCAAGACCTTGTGTTGCAATATGACACCAACTACAACGTCAGTGATCTTGAAAATGTCACCACTCTGCATCGTTATCTCTTGCAGTATAAAGGGGCAACTGGAACGCTCTTGCTGTACAAAGTCTGGTCCTTTGTTTCTCTGTGAACTTTACCTCTTGCCTGTGGCTGACAGATTGGGTCATTGTGTAATGTAGTGCAAAGACATCCTGTATTGCTGAATGAGTGAACTCCAAGACTTTAAGGCCAACTTGAAATTAATGAGATGCACTTCCTTAAAGGACATGTCCAGGGAAAACCTGCTTTCTCCAAATTTCACCTGTTAGTCCAAATGAACCGCTAACCTGGGGAAATGAGAACATTTGTAGCAGCAGATTAAAGTGCTGTGCTTTTATCTTGTTGTCATAGGTAGCAGTATGATAAAGCGATGAGAGTACAAGTCTCATCAGCAGCCCTACCCCACTTTTCTAGAGGTTCTCATTAATCTTCAGTGGTAAGGAGTCCCTTTAGTGGAGGGCTGTAAACATGCACTTGCGCTAGCGGTGGAATACTCATGAGAATATAAGGGGCAGGAAGATGACAAAGGAGCAGAGTGGGATGCGTGTTTAGAGGAACAGTATTCTATGACTACAGAGTACACATGAGCCTGCGGTTCAGTACAGAGCTCTGGTACAGAGGTCTGTGTGTGGTAGGTTGCATTTAACAGCACATACAAAACAAAGGTTCATACCTTGAAGTTGAAATAATGTTGAGTAACTATAAGCACTCACAGCACTTCTGAAGCCCTGAGTGCAGTACCATAAAAGAGTTTCAGAATGATTTCATTAAGCTTCTTCTCTCATGTGCCAGTTAGAACCAGGCAGCTTTCACAGTGTCCTTCAGCTGCCTTATATTGTCTCAAATGCTTGTTCGCTCACTCCATCAGGGAATCAATGGAACACACTCTCATGCTCTAATGGTGCCAAAAAGACTCCTCTGGAGCAATGCCGTAGAAGTGCCCAAAAAATTATTTTTTATTGCAAGGTTTGAATGGAACCGTATTTTAAATGTTCTGAATGGAAGTGATCCAAGTAACCCATTCTGACATCTTTATTTTAAATGAGAAAAATTCATTTAGTATGTGTGGTTTTCTCATAAGAAACACTTCATTGTCTCCAAGACTCAAATTAGAGTTAACTTCAGTTAATTGCAATGAGTGGATTTCCACGCTTGTAAAGACACTCACCTTCGCTGCTGCGGCACGTCTTTTCTTTGCTTTTTGTTCATGACAGCGGGCACGCAGCTGGTCAGCTCGGTCCAGTCCGCGTGCAGACCGCAGCTCCAGCCGGTGGAGAAGCGCGAGAAGAGCCACGAATCTGCTTTGCCAGGTCGGTGGCACGTGCACTTCTTCTGGCCGGGCTTGCAGTCGCACGGCCGCTCCAGGTGGATGTTCCTCACCAGGTGCCTCCCGAACGTGGTGCCCCCGGTCTTCTGTATATGCAGGAATACGATCACGTCGCTGCCCTTGATGTCGAATTCCACGTGGCGCTCGAGGTCTTCAATGGTGAAGTTGAACTTGGACGGAAACGTCCCTGGACCCTGCTCGTCCGGCTCTCGCGCGTCCGCGTCGCCGTCCAGCCCCGGCGAGTATTGGGACAGCAAAGGGCTGAACGCGCCAGAGCTCTGTCCGCTCCGGAGCCGACAAGACGTACTGTCCGCTGGACAGATGTACTGATAGCCGATCATTACGAACAGAACGGCCAGGACAGGGATGAGAAGGAGTTTGTTGGATTTATCATCCATTGCAAACAGAGCAAGTCGATGATTACGCCATTGGTAACTCTCCGTTCACTGGGACAGTCCAGGTGGGGCACGCTGAAAGCTCACCATCTCAGCGACCGCACCGTCCAAGAAGTTCAACTCACAGACCGTCGCTGTTACTTCAGGCAAGGCTGAACAAGTTTGGATCCGCGCGCGCGATTTCCATTCAGGATCTATAAAGCTCACGATGTTCCCTTATGACAATATATCTATCAGTTTGAAGGCTGCATAAGAACGAGTCTTAAGTGTTTTCATTTCGCCCAACTTTGAGACGACGTCTTCCAGAACACTTAACCCGAAAAGAGCACCTGAAAACCGGTCGATCGTGAATGAAAAACTGCAGATATTTGTCGTTCAGCCCTTTTCCCCATTGAATTAGTACCTCCCTGTGAAGGTGGAAGTCCCTGAGTGGAAAAGCTTCAGACGAGGGGAGGGAAGCCTGCAGTCTCCCACAGTCTCCATCCCGCAGCTCCCCGCCTAAATACCAAAACCTGGAACAAAATATCAAACAGATTCACAGCTCATCTCCCAGAGCCCGTCAGTGTGTCTTCGAGAAGATATAATTCAAGCGTCTGCCTGAGCGCAAGATCTGGAAACACAAACAAAAAAACAAGTTGCTCTTGGACGCCTCTGCGATCCGCAGCAGAGAGAGAAAGCTCTGTGTGCTTCGCCGTCAGACGGAGATTGAAAGCACGGGTAGCCCGCTGTAATTATCCAATCATAACGGAGTGCTGCAGAAATGTGGACCAATACAAAAATACACATCGACCCACTGCAGCCAATACCGGTTCAAACAATGGACTATAATATCAGCGCTGCCAATAGATTTCGCGGAGTAGCTGTAAGCATAGACTGAAACGGCGACCATTAGCTCTGAGAGCTTATCTGCACGTTATGATTTACAGTAGCGTCCAAAGGTCGTTACGACATACCATAATATCCTGAGTTTCCATTTTAGTTTACCTTTGAAGTGAGTCTTGTGATAAAGAACAATAGATCGCTCTTTCTGATAAAGTTTAAACGGCGTCGTTATGTAGAAATACATACTGATAAAGGTTACTATTACTGGAAATAGTGATGCATCACTTCACTCAAACGAGTACATCATTCCCGCATCAATAAAATCCACTGCCGTACAACAGTTTAGGATAACATGTCAGTGTTTACTAATAACTGCTGTTCTTTTTTGTTATCTTACTAGGTTAATAACCTATTCAGTATACCTCAAAATACTGGCTAAAAGGGATTTCAAGATGTTTTGTTCAGTATTTCAAGTTTTGGCAACACTAACAAGTCAGCAGATGACAATTAATACACTGAAATGATCTTTAGCATCTGTAGATCATCTGTAGATCATCTATGGGGACCATCAAAATAAAGTGTAAAAGTTAATTTTATTATAACTTTATTATCAATGTTGTACAGTTTTCCAACCATCACAGAATCATCCACAGCTTTGTTCATCATTCTGGCCACATCTTACATTTCTTCACTTCAGTCGAAACTCGTGACTTTGTAGAGAAGTAGTATCTCAATACAATCATGTTATCTTGTATCATAATATGTATCGTTGAAAATTTGGTTTTATATAAATGAAAACAGTTATTCCAAGCTTTTGAATGGTGATTCTTAGCCTTAGAACTTCACATTATCAAACATCATCGTAATTCTGCCTTTCAGTTTGCTGACTTTTGGCACTAATTGTGATGATGTCGTATATTTTGTTCACATGAAAATTTTGTACATCTGATTTTACCCTCGTAAATTAAACACATTCATTTATTCAGTGTATGCAGACAGTCATCTCTTCGCTCTGCAGTGTGCTGTTGGAGTCTTTAAACTATTATAGGTTTTAAACAAAGACATTTGACATATGCCACTTTCGACAGTTAGAGTGTATCATACTTCATGGTGTCAATGTAGACGATTCTTCAATCTCTGGAGTTTGGAGAAATTAGGTAATATGCAGTCTGTGTACAGGAAGCAGTTTTTCAAAATCTGGTCATCATACAGTGAGAACTTGGTGAACCACGATGCACTCAAGGAACAACACTCATCTCAAAATGGGTGGCTTTTCAGCACCAAGGACAGTTCAGAACAAAAAGTTCAATTTTCTGTGTGGCTTATGTTCTAAAGGGAGCTCCACCAACACCAAACAGATCATCGCAACCTGTACCATTTCAATCTCCCAGAAGAGAGTTGTAAACATAAACACAGCCATTATCTGTTGTTTTGTAATCACCCATCTAGTAGCCTAGCACTTGTCTCATTGGGATTCATCTGCATCTGGGATCACTAGATGTGGCATTCCCTTTCCAGTTTCTTTTCCTTAATGTCAGTTCTTTTCTACATATCAGCCTGTTTGTGGGAAATGAAACAAAAAACTACCACAGCAGTTCTTCTTCTGCCCTTTGACTTTCTTGACCTTCACTGAAACTTGTCAATGAAATATGGAATTTATCTGTTTAATGAAATGTGCCCTAAAGATTACTATGTACTACTTTTGAACTACAACTGACGAAAGTTGGTCTGCTAAAGCTGTTTTATTGTGTTATTGACTTCCTGGTAAAGCTGGTCAACTTTTATCTGAGTTCACTAAATTTCTGTTATTAAGCCGGACAAAGTGATATTAGCTGGTGATTTTAAATTGCATATCGATGATGCCACAGATTGTACAGCCACAGAATTTCTTAATATTATGGATTCAAGACGGCTCTTTTGAAGCTTTCAAATGATATCCTACTGGACTCCACTGCAAACTGGTTGAGCTATTCTTACATTACAAAAATGTGTAATAAAACTCAGCTTAATACTGATAAGACAGAGGTTTTGATTGTTGCTCCAGAAAAGGTTTCCCACTTGATCAAACACAGTCTTGGGCTTCTTTCCTCTGCTGCCCACTCCAGCCTGCATAAATTGGGGGTTATATCAGTCCTCATCAGTCCTCACCCCTATTAAGCAGCTGACCAGGTCTTGTTTTTTCCACTTTAGAAATATAAGTAAACTGAAATCTGTAGTTTCTTAGACTTAGACAGACTTTATTGTCATTCAAACTCGAGTTAGAGATGCTTACACATGGCTTGTATTTACTACTGTAATGCTCTTTTTTCCTCACTTAATATGTCTGTTCTTGATCATTTGCAGGCAATTCAGAATGCTGGTGCAAGACTACTTACTAGGTCTAACAGACAGTCTCACATAACTCCTTTACTCATATCTCTTTGCTGGCTCCCTGTTGCATATAGGATCCAGTTTAAAATACTTGTTCTTGTACTTTCAGTGCATTGCAAAGTCAGGCTCCTGTGTATGTGACTGGTCACTCATCAGCTCATTCTTTTAGGTGAAATAAGCTAAGTTTAAGTTCCACGTCACACCTCAAGACCTGTTGGAGTTTTTGAGTTTGTAGTATTTAAACTGTGGAACACTTAGTCCATTTTTTTTAGAAACTGCTGATTCTGTGGAGTTTTTAAATTACAAATCTTTTGAAAAGGTCATTTGGGTAATTCAAATGCACCAGTTCTGCATTTTATCTAATATATGTTTTACTGCGAGGTGTGTATTTTTGTCATGTATTTGTGTTTGTACTTTTGACGTTGTGAAACATTTTTTTAAATACATTTTACTTTCACTTTCTTACTCACTTACTTATGAAATCAGGTGTACACAATGAAAAGGGCATGAGGGCAGTGGCAAAAGGGGGCCCACCGTGCCCAAACCAGAATTTTTTTGCACCGGGCCCCTCCAGGCTCAGACTGCCATCTGGAGTACCGGGAGATTTTATGACCGGTAGCCTGACCTGCCAATTGCACAAAGGGTGAACTAGAGCACAGCGCAGCCACATTCATGAACATGGGGAAAAAACTCCTCCTCCCCTGATCTCTCACTTGATTGGACCTCTTAAAGCACGTTCATGGTCTATGTACAATAAACAGTATTTAATCAGAGATGTGCTGTAGAACTAGCTGGCTAGCTAGTTTAGCCATTAAACTGGCCTTCAGCATCACAGTTTGTGTTCACAACTTTTCAAAAAAGATAAAAGGAGAAGAGAGAGGTGGAGCTGAGAGGTAAAGAGAGAACATCCTCAGAATAACTAATTCAGCAACAGAGCAACAGGCCAGTCTTCAGCCTCCTCTGCTCACTTGATCACTTAGCTAGCTGCTACTGCTGTAGGCTGTTTATCTTTGTCAGGAAATAGCACATCAATCCACTTCCGACCGAGATGATCTCTATTATTACCGGTGGCATGTTCAGCGTTCACTAACAAAAATAGTCCTGGTTCTGCTTCCTAGCATATTCATCTTACAACTGATTTTCCACAAACAGAATCTAAGAATCTAATCTTCAACCATATGGAACCTTTTCTTCCATTTTTAGTTTTGTCTCAGACCGAGTAAAGTTTTCTATTTTAAAATGTTTTTTATTTTTAATTATTTTCAGAGATATTACAGAGTACATACATTTCATATACATACAAAAATACAGTTACATTTAAAGGATTAGAGGTATCACTGGGCTTTAACTTCACTTATGCTAGTATTTTAAATATCGTCTGGAATGGAGCATTATTTACGCTGGAAGGTTTCATTGAATAAGCTGATGATGCTAGTGTGATACGTCATGGATAGGTATCATACAAAGGTATCATAAGGCTATTCCATATCACATGATATACACTTTAAGTCTGGAATCACTTCTTAGTAAATAAACAATAACAAGCTTTTTAGAAAATTACATGTGTATGAGTTATTTATCTGGGCAGTAAGTGTCTATTTGTTCCAAAAACCCTAACATTAGAATAAATCAAATAAACAACTAAAGAATCCATTGTGATTTGATATGTGTTAGCTCAATCATTTTCTTAATCTCTCCTGGATTAAGTTCAGCAGTTACCATCCAAGACCTAGTTTAAAAAGCAGTTCTTCGTTAAATTAAATCAGGAGCTGCCGATGGAATTGAACATGTGATGGCTGGGGTACATCAAGAAGTCAGGAACCAATTCTGTGTTCTTTCAACTGTATTCATCTAACCTAATAAATAACTTCACTGGCAAACATCAGATTATTTTTACTGTATTTGGGTTTATTTGTATTTTTTCAGTGTCATATAGCAAACCAAATATATTAGATTCTAGTGGCTGAAATGGTGTGCATCAAGAGCATCAACTTGTTTTAGACATTACAATACTTAAAAAAACATGCAAATTAAATTGTCTTTTTTTTTATTAATCGAAACTTATCTTGTATGGGACGGGCATTAACTGTTTTTGCACTGTGGCCTATAAGATCCTAGTTGCGCCACTGTATGAGGGGGAGGTCATTTTTCCAAAGCTTGGTTGTTTTTTTTTTCCTTTTTGATAAAAGTTCCCTCACGAATGCCTCCCCCTACAACCCCACCCCAGACCAAGTTGGAAACCAGAGGTTTTAATTTATCAAACGCGCTTACTCACCGGCATGGCACAACAACACGGATTAGAGTGCAGGAGAGAGAAATGTCAGACTGCTCTCTCATGTAAGCCTGTCTAACACATGGCAACTTCTAAAAGCATTCCCCTAAATTCCTGAATAACACAAAGCCTCACTGTAGCTACAGAAAAAGAAAAAACGCCCTCATGTTAGTGTCATGGTTCAGAAAATGGTGTCACAAAAATATCTAGATTAAATCCAATGTGAATGCATGACTTGGTCCAAAAACATAGATCTAATGAAACAGCGGAATTCCACCAGCTTTTCAAAATGTCTGCAGTATTTTACCACTATTAAGAGTGACATATGTGGGTTCACACACAGGTCATTTTAAATAGTAATAAATTTACATTGCTGACATTAGGACCCCTGGTTCCTATCACCATCATTGTGAA